GGACCCACAAACACACACACACACACACACAGGGCTGAGAAATATAAATATATATGAGTATATATATATATATAGAGAGAGAGAGAGTGATTGAGAGAGTGATTGAGAGAGTGAGAGGGAGGGAGGGATAAACAAATAAAGAAAAAAAACAAATCTGCATATCTCTTTCTTTCTTTTTCTTTTTTTTTTTTTTTTTTTTCTTTCTTCTTTCTCTCCCCTAAATACACACATATATATTTATATTTATATTTATACTGGTGGTAAGGAGATGATGGGTTGCTCCTTTTTTTTTTTTCTTTTTTTTTTTTTCTTTTTTTCCTTTTGGGGGGGTTTGCTGAATGTTTTTTTTTTTTTTTTTTTGATTTCACTTATGCACTTCGCACTTCACTTTACCCCCCCTTTTTTTTTTTTTTTTTTATTTCAGCACTCACTAACTTCTTCCACCCATTCAATTTTTTTTTTTTTTTTTTCTTTTACACCTCCTGTTGCTGTATGCCCAATGCCCAATGCACATTATATATTATTATTATACCTTTATTTATATATACTGTATTTATTTATATTTATTTATATTTAGAAGAGTAGTTGTGAGTCGCTTTTCCCCATGAACGTGATGGAGGAGAGAAGGAAGGAAGGAAGAAAAACAAAACAAAAAAAAAAAAACGAAAAAAAAAACAATCAGAAAAGGATGAAAGGGATTATAACAGGTAACCTTTCACATACATATACACACACATTTATATATATTTATATATATTGATGACTTCACTCTCTTTTTTTTCTTTTTTTTTGAGGCAATGGTTGCTTCGTTGCAAATGGTACCCAATCCCCCTTTCCCTTTCCCCTTTTCTTCCCTTTTTTTCCTTTTTTTTTTCCCTTTTTTCCTTTTTTGTACTTTTCTTTCAACGGTATACATGTGTGTGTCATTTTTACCTGCCCACACACACACACACACGTACACACACATGTAGACATGTAGACATGTAGACATGTCTCGCTGTATATATGATGCATACGATGTGATTTTGTAATCATAGAGGTGTGGTGTAAGTTGTGGCTTAATGGGTTTGTGAAGGTGCATGCTTATTTTCATCTGTAGGTTTAAACATACATATAGATCTATCTATATATATATATCTGTATGTATCTGTATGTATGTATGTATTACTACAGTTGTTATATACTGACTCTCTGTACTATTGTTTTTTTTTTTTTTTTTTATGGACACGGGGAGAGAGGAAGAAAAGAAAGGGGGGCGGAAGATTAAAAGAAAAACAAAAAAAATTTAATTATAAAAAAAGGCAAAAACAAACAAGCAAAAAACAAAACACGCATGCCGTCCAGTTTCATTTACAAGGGAGCCGATAGGCGTCTGTTTTTTTTTTTTTTTTTTTTTTATGTCTTTGAATTTTGATTTATTTCACCGCTTATATTTTTATATTTTTGACTCGTTTTGCCTTCCCGCTTTTTTTTTCTTTTTTTTCTCTTTCTGTTCTGCCCTTGCGGTTGTTTGTTTGTTTGTTTTTGTGTGCGTCGTGCCCGCCGCCCTCGGACCGTCGATCCGTCACCGTCCGTGTGTCGATTTGGACGGCTCTTCGCCCCCGCGTCAGCGAGCGGCGCAGAAGACATCCCAAAAGAAAGGAGCCGCCGGTGGGGGAGTTGGCGGAAAACACACAAATACATACATGCATACTTTGCAGGCAAAAATAAATAAAGAGGAGGGTCTGTATGTATGTGTTTGTGTGTGTGTGTGGGGGAAGTACGCGTGAAGGCACGAGATTTTCTTTCCTTCTCGCTTATGTGCCAGGGATTTTGCATTTCTCTGTAGATACTTATGTACATCAGTACTGCTGTTACCACAGGACTGTTTCTTTTGTTTTCTCTCTTTTGTGCTTTTTTTTTTTTTTTGTTTGTTTGTTTGTTGCCGCAGTCAAATTTTGTTTCGTATTCCCTGTGACATGCTTAAATGCATGTTGACACATAAGTACATACGTACACATTCACTTATATGATTTCCGTTTTATATGATTTTCTTTTTCTTTTTTTTTTTTTGTATGCATTTATGCACACCCGCACAGTCGTTTATATATTATTATATTATGTTATTATTTCTATTTTTTTTTTTTTCTTTTTTGTTGTTGTTTTTCTTTGGTATTCTTTCCTGTATTATTTTTATTTTTATTTATTTTTATTTATTTATTTTTTGGGACTTTTACAAGCCTCAGTATATTATCTGTGGGACATACATATATGTACATATGTATGTATCGGTGGTTGCGTGTGGGTGAAAAGTGATGGGATCACACGAGGGGAGGACGCATCCAGCTGCCTTCCTTTTATGTACATGTATGCATCCCTCTTTTTCTTTTTTTTCTTTTTTTTTTGTGGCAAAACAAAATTGGGGTGAAAAGAAACAAAAAAACAACAACAACAGAAAATAAATAAAATAAAATAAAAGGAAGGCAGTTGGTGTCAATAAAATAGAGAGAGAGAGAGAGAAAGGGAGTTGCAGAGAAGTGGAGAAGTTAAACTTTGCTTGTCAACCTTTACGCTCTTATTATTATTATTTTTATTATTATTTTTGCGTTTGTGTGAGTGAGTGAGTGATGCCTCTTGTTTTTGAGTTTAAATAAATAAATATATTTATCTTTATATATTTGCGGTGCTCTGTGTGTTTGTATCTCTGTGTCTGCGATTGCCCGTGGCTGACGGCAATGACTGCTGCCGCTGCTGTCAAAATATGCACCGGGTACTTCTTTTGGGGCCCTAGTGGGAAGACGAACGTCATTCATGCGGCGGTGCGGAGAGGTCGGGTTTGGATGCATGAAGTTACGTTCAGGCACGGAAAGAAAAGCCGAAGAAAAGAAAAGAAAAGAACATAACAGAAAAAGAAGGGAGGAAAGACACCTGTAATCGACGATAATAATTAAACGACTGTGTTTTAATATTACTTTTATACAAATTTATGTGTTTGTGGTTTAATCCTCATTTGTTCATTTGTTCGTTTTTTTTTTTTTACGTGTACATCCACATGCATTCCATTGCCTCCCCCACCCGCACCCCCCCTCTTCTCCTGCCTGCACACCCTTCTTTCACTCCTTGCGTATGCGCGGCAGAAGAGTGTGAGTGAGTGGGTTTGTGTGTGTTTGGTTGCGTGTACGAAGAGCGGCATGTGGTCATGCGTGCTTGCAGGGAATCAGCATTATTATGTGTGCATATTATTTATTATTTTTCTGTCGCACTGCCATTGGAGGGAAAGAGAGAGAGAGTGTGTGTGTGAGAGAGAGAGAGCGGCGATGAGCGCTTAAGTGGGGGGGAATATAAAAGATGTCATTAATTATACATACATATACACTTATATATATTTATTTCTTTATTATTATTATTTATTGTTTCATTGGTGAAAAGATGGAGAGGGAGGGGATGAAAGAGGAAAACGAGTGCTTTTCCCTTTCCCACCACACACACATACAATGAAAAGGAAATAATGGTGGGAGTGATGGTGATACAAAGATTTGGGGTAAGTTGTTTGGCGTGTGTATATTGTGTTTGGCAAAACAGTAGGAGAAAATGGGAGTAGGCATGGCTTGTGGCTGACATGATTCCCCGGCTGGATCTTGTTGTTTTGTTTCTTCTTCTTTTTTCTCTTTTTTTTTTTTTTTTTTTTAAATTTTTTTAATGATTGACATAACATTTACCCTTCCAAGGCGTGTGGGACAGGAACGGGGAATAGTTTTGGTTTTTGTGCAGTGACCTGCGGAAGTAAAATTAAGCCGCCAACACCAAGAAAGAGTGAAACGGAGGAAAATCAAATAAATAAATAAATAAATAAATAAATATCCATACACGCATACGTACAGACAGACATATTTGTGTGGTTCCTTCCACATAACGGAGAGAAGTGGAGGCCGCAAGCAGAGCGGACGACGGCAGAAGAGTGGGAAGGGGATTTATTAAACAAATTTGTTTGGCACGGCGGGTGAGAGGGAGACGGGGGCTGAAGGATGCCGTTGTCTCTGACACGCCAGGCGGCTCAGCAGTCGGACGATGTGAGGCAAACTGAAGAGGAATTAGTGCCACGCAGGGTGGTGACACTTCATCTGCGTCCTGCAACCGCGGAGAACGAGGAGGATCGCATGCGTCGTGTTTCGTGGGAAAGAAATGTGCGGGAAAATAAAAACCAGCGCGTCAGTAAAAGTTGCTGTGTTTTTCATAAAAAAAAACTTTTTGGGGAGAGCAGCAGCGATGAAAGTAGTAGTAGCAGCAGCAGCAGCAGCAGCGGTGACGAAAGCGGCGGTGTTATTGGTGACAACGACCAACAGAGAGGAGGTGATGCTCACCATTACGGCCGTCATGGAAGCCATGAGGGCGATCCTGCTGCTTGCCAGCACGGTGATAATCGCCACCACCGCCATAAACATCCACCTTGCACAAAGGAGCATTGTTACTGCGGAACGCGGTTTCATTAAGCATCACTGTGGAGTAACGCGACGGAAAAAGAAGAAGAAAAAAAAAAGCGAACATGAAAAATAAAGAGAAGAGAACAAGACAGACAGGAAAGAAAGTCTTTAAGGGAATGGGTGTAGTGTAAGGAAGGGATAGTGATGGTGATCGGGAGTAATGATGTTAATATTACTGATATTGATGCTTAGGAATTGTAACAAAGAGAAGAGAAGGATGAGGAGGCCAGGGCACATCGAATGTGTATCCATGAAATGTGTATATACTAATACCTATATATATATATTTGCCTGTGTTGTGTTGTGTGTTTGTGTGTGCGTTTGGATGCATTCAATTATTTTGAGAACTTGCGGACTTTGAACCAATATATATATATTTGTCTTTTTTTCTTTCTTGGCGGGTTATTTCGCAATCACTCCTTTTTTTTTCTTTTCTTTTTTTTAAAAACTATTAGAACCATATTTTTATTTGGGAGGATTGTGTTTTGATTTTGTGGCAGTTGGTGCTTCACGATGCTGAGGGAGGGGAGTCTCACTGCGTCTCCTCAAGGACTGTCGGGTCCATCGCCAGTGTTATTGTCAGCATCGCGACAGCTGTTGTTGCATTATTCTCCGAATGAAATGGATTCACCAGCGAAGAAGTTGGAGACAGCCAGCAGTCTTCACTCCAGCATCACAGAATTCATGCGCAGCCCCATGCTTGTTATTCAAAATCCTGACTTTATGAAAACGACAGAAAAGTCTCCAACTACACACGATGATGAAAGTTTATTACACGACGTGGAGGAACTGCGCCGCCTTGTTGGCACGACGCAGGAGGAGGTTTGTGCGCTGCGCCGCGCGGTGGCAAAGCTAGAGGCTGAGATACACAACAATAAGAAGGAATTGTTAATGCGGCTTTATTCCGACTTGTCGACGCCACCACCAACTGGATTGGAAGATAAAAATGCTGGTGGCGCGGGTGTGGAAGTAGACCAGCTGCTCACATCTTTGCGAAACCAATTTCTCAGTCAAGTACGGGAGTTGGAGGAGCAGGCAACGCTGTGCAGATTAAATAACACCGCAAAGGAGGAGGCACTTCGCTCTCTTTACGCCAGTATTCTCGCCGAAGAAGAGAATAATGAGGCGCGTAAAACGGAAATTCAGGCAGGGGAGTCGGTGTGTCATACGTTGCGACTGAAGCTGCAGGAGGCTCAGCGGCGTGTGTGGGATTACCGACGGCGTGAGGCGTTTGTTTCTGCCGCCGAGAAGAAGTATTTGGAGCAAATAGAGAAAATTCATACTTTGCGAGAGGAGGTGCGGGCGTGCGGGTTGCAACTTCCGGTGTTTGGGGCAGGAGGTGATAAGACGGGATCTGTTATTCCGACATGTAATCGATTTTGTTGGGAGCGGCGCTGCGTTGGGCGACAAAATGCAGTTAAGCCACCACTGTTGTTGGAAGCGGGCGGTGTTTCTTCCGACAGGACGGGAAGGGATTGGAGTGAAGGAAGAGAGGAGGGCGACCCGAACGCCATTGTGTCACGTGTTTTTGCCTTTCCTCCAGGCGTCTTGTACGCGTTGCAAGTTGCCATGTCGGGCGACACAGGAGACCGCTCTACAGAGAAGAAGGTCGCTGAGGATAATGAGTACATGAGTCATCGAGAAATGAGCCTTACGGGGGGCGGAGGTCGTGGGTTGCGGCACCGTGCGCGGGCACTTGGCCTTAGCTTGGAGTACCAGCAGCACCTGGAGGTCAATCCATATCTTCCTCATTCCCCAGAGGAACAAAGAGGAACTGAAAGGGAAAAGGGATCCAGCGCTACGAGGGATGGGGTGAAGGTGATCATTCGTGGACGGCGGTGGGCTGTCCACCAGTTTCAGAAGGAGCTTGAAGCTGCCATGGCGACGTTGGAATTGTCTGATGGAACAAAGGTGTATTTTTTTGACTCCACATCACCAGACGGGGTGTAGACAGCTGTTGTTGCTTCTGAAAGCAACGATCGTGACACGGCATCCTTGTGTCTACGCTACCGCCATTCCGATGAACTTTCCATCAGACCTTGGAGGACGACAGCAGAGTTGGCACAACGGCATGCCCTGTTGCCTTCCTCGTGTCTGCTGGAACACAACAACAGTAGTTGAAAATACTACAGGCAAAATTATCGTGAATTACTACCAAGCAGACCGCGCAATCTCTAGTGCATACAAGACAATAAGTAGAGGTACCGTGTGAGAGAGAGAGAGTGTGTGTGTGTGTGCGTGTGCTTCAATGTATCGGTGAGTGAATTGGAGATGCCGGTGAAATTATTTATCCACCTCGCTACCATTTCCTCCCCGCAGCAACGGTCTTGGGAAGAGGAGGCGGACAGAGAACGGGGGCACAGCGTGACTCTCAGTTGGAGGGACTCAGCACCACAGACGAGGCGAGTAAGGAAAGTCGATGAAGTGACAACGTGACGACAAGATCATCTTGGCTCTTTCCAACCCAAACGTAAACACACACCCACACACCCAAACACACACTTTCTTTAAGCCTGAGATGGGGTCGTGTCCTTTTATTTTTATTTTTACTGTTTTTTGTCTTTTTGACAATTTTATGCTTTCTTTTTTTTTTTTCCTTTGATCCTTGAGGAATGTAATTCTGCCATTCTTTCCATCTTTTCTTAATTTGACAGCATATATATATATATATTTTAAACCCTTTGCCGCTATAAAGGCGAGAGCGGAAGAGAGGCAGGAATGGGGGGAGTCGCTTTTTTCGCTGTGCCCACACCTCTGTTGGCCGCGGCATCCCTTGTGCTCGGTATAGCAATAGGTGCCACGGCTGCCCTTACGTACATCAAAAAGACCAACAGGAGGGAGTTCTCACCGCGGCGCCGGTCTTTACGGCATGCGGGGTTCGCATCCTCTTTTTCCAATGATGATGGGAAGGATGGCGCCGCGTCATCCAGTAAAAGGCATTTGCAGCAGGAGGAAATTATTGGCGGGCAGAAGCGGCGAGTTTCACGGCGCTTGAATTCAGGGGTCGATGTACATCCCGGTTTGTTTTCGATGAAGTCGTATGCAGCACAGAGGATAGGTCAAAACTCTCGCAGCAGTTCCATTAGTTTAATTCTGAAGTCATGCTTAGGCGCGGAAAGTCTGGGCACTGAGTCGCAGGAGGATCGAGATGACGGTGACGCGGAGGAGGGGAAAGAGGAAAAAAACTCCGAATTTCCCATTTCCGCGGTCGGGTCGGAGGAGGAAGGCACGAGAGCGTTTCTACCGAGTACTAAGGGCTCTGGGGAGAAGAAGGGAGGAAATGCACAAAATGTGTTTTTTACCTCAGGCGAAGCGGAATTTAGCAGTCTCAGCACATTGGAGGGCCTTTTCTCTGAGGACGACGCGTCATCGCAGGACAAAAACGAGGAAGAAGGGCAGCAGGACGAACAGCACAGTAATAATCCCAAACAAAATGAAGATGCATACACGACGAAGCAGGGGGAGACCGCAACAGGGTTTCTTGGACGTTCAGGTCGATCTTACTCGGTGAACTGTATTTTGGATAGGGCAGCCTTCAGCGGTCTGGATTTTCCCGGTGGAAGTAAGCGGCTTGGCGCATCACAGAATGACGCCGTTTTCTCTAAACGCCATTTTTATCATACCCACAGCGGCGCGATCATCACACGACTGCCCTCTGTGGCAGCGGTTCGATGTCGTTCAATATTGCAGCTTCTGCATCCACCATCTTCAACCCACAAGGATGAAAGTACCGAGGAGGATGGCAACCTGTCGCAGTTGACACAGTCCATTCGCTCCACCAGGAGCCTTATGGATGATCCCATCTATCGTGTAGTTATCACTGGCGGGCCATGCAGCGGGAAGACATCATGTTTATCATACCTTCG